GAAATGTCGTTTTTGCAGGAAATCCAAAACCGGTCGCAGAGAAAACTGTCAAGGGATTTGTCTCAAGGAAAATGAGGAAAAATTTGGAAAAGAATCGTGCTCATCATCCGTGATTCTCTCGGTACCTGTAATATATAATTACTTGTAATTAATTATTGTAATTGCTGCAATTAATGTGCACTAAGAAATCTAATTTTTAACGTTAAGCTGATGGTTTCTTTGTCATTCGCTTGAGTTTTTTAAGGTTCGTTTTTAGTTTCGGTGTCAGAAGTCGCAGGCAAAATTGATGGATGATGGTGATTGATGCGTCCAGCATCATGAGCATGATGAACATCATTCATGAAAATTTCGGCTTTTACGCGTGTTCTTCAATTGTCCTGTTTTCAAAAATTTCCCAAACTAATCCTTGAGAAATTTTGGGAAGGTTTGAAGAAATACCGTAGAAATACAAGAAATATCCAGGAAAATATTTTATTATTTAAATATTACCTCCGTGGTCATATTCCCACAATATATCCTATCGGCCAAGCCGAAATGACATCGATTGATGTAGATGCCAGCTGTAATCAATCGATGCCCTGTTCCCCTCACTTTTCCCTGCTTAATGGCAATCCCGATAAATACACGTTTCGCTTATCAGCAGCTGCCACGCCCCTTCTTGACAACTCTATCGGCAGCGAGAGCAGAGTTTTCCAAAGACCGAAAGAGGCGTCGCTGCCCGGTGACTTTGTTGCGATTCTGCGACCTGTTGCTCCACGAAGGTTGCTCCTTCGCTTTGCGAATCTCCGCGAGCATCGCGCTGCGTCGAACGTGTTCGCTTGGAGAAGTGCTAAGTACGGATTGGCGAGAGGATTGGCGTGCTGAAATCTGTTGCTTCACGCCTTCGATCGGTATTGCCCGCAGACCAGAGAGGGAAGATCATCTTGAGATCATTAATCCAGAAAGCGGACAAGAATGAAAGTTTCATTTTTTTTTAAAATGTAAATTTGCACGTTCGCAAAAGAATACCAGTCACAGTATTGAAGATGGGGACTTGGAATGAATTATGTGAAGCTGGGACCCAATTTCGCACTTTTTTCAAAGAAAGACTTGAAAGAGAGTTGAAGAGATACTTAGAATTGTTTTCCAGAATTTTTTTTTTCCCTTTCCCGTTTTCCCTTCCCATAATTTTCTTCAAAATTTTCTTCAAAGTTCTTCTTGAATCTCTGATGAACACGAATTCGAACACTGAGGACTAGAAATTCCGATCCAACTGGAGACCCAGGCGTTGGGATAGGTGAGTATCATACACGAATGACAATATAGGTCTTTTTTTTGCATCAAACCTCAAGCGCATACTTGAGGATGCATATATTTTCCATCCCTAATAAAGACATTGAATTCGACAGGCATCGTACATAAAGAAAAAATCGCAATTCGCAACAAGGAACAAAGCACGAACATGAGAAGCTCCAAAAGAAAGAACAGTATGAGTTCCCATTAAACATTTGGTAACTTTCTCGAAAGAGCCCGAAACAGATAAATTCCAGCAACAAAGGCACACCTCACGCTTTGTAGATACGGATCCGGCTTGTGATGACCTTCCGGCAGATGGGACAATTCCGAACCTTCTGCGCGCAAGGGAGGCAGGCGACCATGTGGCCGCAGTCGACGAACGCGCAGTTCAACTCATCCTCCAGGCACAGCTTGCACAGGTTTCCGTCATCGCCTGAAACGAATTCCACAATACGAGAATACGACTTCCTGGAAACAAAATAAATCCCTGTCCAGAATCTGACATTTCAGACTTTTCAGTTGTCTTTGCTATAAGAATTTCAGGGCTCGATTATGCAAAAATGCCTGTCGTTCGAATTTATACCAATGAAAATTCATCGAAGCAACTTTTTAAGATGAATTTCCGAGATGCGTTTGGAGGATGGCGCCTCACATCTGCATTGTCCGGTGAGGACCACTTAGCGACTGAGACCGACCTGGCTGCCACCACTTCTGGGTAAGGAGAAGCCCCAATTTAAAGCTTCCTGCTATGGATGTTGCTCATTGGTGCGGCTTACGGAGGTAGATCAGACATTCCTTCGCTAGCGATGTTGGATCGTTGCTCACCTTCATCTGCCTTTTCGGAGGCTCCGGATGAAAATGCCGTTGGAGCAGTCGTATTCTTGGGGTTTGATCCTTCATATGTGTTGGCTTTTTGCAATGGAGGAGGCGGAAGTCGAATCGTTGCTAGCGTATCAGGCGAGCCCCTCAATCTGGATTGAGGTGGAGGTGGCCTAAACCTTGACGATGGAGGCGGAGGAGCTCGAAGTCTCGTTGGTGGAGGCCGACGACCTCGAACTCTTGAAGTTGGAGGCATAGGAAACCTTGCTCTTGGAGCCGGAGGACCCAGAAACCCTGCTTGTGGAGCCGGAGGACCTGGAAGCCTTGCTGGTGGAGCCGGAGGACCTGGAAACCCTGCTGGTGGAGCCGGAGGACCTGGAAGCCTTGCTGGTGGAGCCGGAGGACCCAGAAACCTTGCTGGTGGAGCCGAAGGAGCCCTATTCATCATCGATCTAACCGCAGCTTGCAATGCCGCAAGCTTCTGTAAATATCAAGAATAGTCAAAGCGTCAATATTTCAAGAATCAGAGGTCGATAATTTATTAATTTATTCATCCTGAGATTCGGTTCTTTGAGATCCCTCTCAAAACATACCTTTAGAAGTGCATGAGAGAAAGCCTAAATTGTCTCGTCCTGCATTATCTGCTTTGATAATTGAATATTGCTCACTTGTTTTGTATTTGCCAATTGTTACAGCAGATGATTTACTCAATTCCTTTACTGAAAAATAATCTACATTAGTTCTTGGGAATATTTCACGAGGCAATCTCAATGGCAATCGAGGGCTTTTCTAGAAGACATCTATTGACGTCGTTAAAGACTCGTTCCGACCCAATTTGCAAAATTAAAATATGTAAGGATAAGCAAGTCAGCTGCTCTTGGTTATTGCTTATCGTAATAGTAGTTAATCCAACATATTTTTATTCGTCGGTCTGATTTGGTACCCTCGACCAAATGCTCCCCCCCCCCGCCCCACAAATCTTAATCTTGCAATCTTAATTTCTTAATTATAATTTTGCAAGCTTAATTTCAGAGCATTTGCATCGCAAGAAAATTGTTGTATGACTAGCAGGTAATTTAACTGCATAATTTCCTTTGAGCTTGAAAATGAAAGCTCGTAAGAGTGTAGTTTTTTTTTNTAGTTTATTGTTGGGATGCGAAGGGACGAAGTTGCAAATTACAGAAGAAACAGTATTAGCCCAAATTTGTTAACCCAAATGCAAATGGCATGTCGGTCGACAAGTTCAGCAGAAACTACCAGACCGATTGCATTAAAAAACTGGACTCTTCTCGCATTTGCACCCGAACCGTGCCAGTCGGAGAAGCTGTTTGCATACGTGAGAGAATGGGAGGCGAAGCATCGGATGACTGGTGTGATTCTGTCCGGCAGCGCACGAAGAGCAGAGGTCGAAGTCCGGGCACGCCAGGCATTTGTATCGTGCTCCTCGGTATTGCTTCTTCTTGCAGACGTCACAGTACCACGACACACCTTAGAAATCAGGCATATGGTTAACGAGAGTCCTCAACTGACTAAAAGATATAATTAATACCATGCACTTCCCATAAGTTTGCATTTCATGATTCCCATTACCCCTCTATTATTCATAAATTGAAGGCACCTGAGGAGTACATTTAGCGCGTTGTTTTATTTTTCAGGAAATACCATCTCGTCACAGTATTCAGCCAAGTTGACCCCGGAAGGTCACATTTTATTAACACATTCCCGACGTACAGAGACAAATGTGCATGCCGAAACCTTTTCTGCTTATCATATTCAATTATTACCAAACCTTGTTTAAATCCCGTTAACAGACATATGCCAGGAAATGCGTTAAGAGCTACTCTGCATGGTTGAGCAGGGAGCCATGAAACATTTGCTTGATTTCAAAATAATTCAATGCTCGTGTGCTTAACAAAAAATTAATTGAAATAATAATGGGAGCACCAGCCGAACCATGGATGATCCATGCAAGCAATTCCCATCAAACAATTTGAAATGCATAACGTTGAGCCAACATTGAATAAATGTTCGTAACGTTGATACAACGTTGGTCCAACGCAGGTTCGCTGGATCCGTAACTCCACGAAGGTCATTGTCCCAAACCTGCGCTCGTTATTCTCCAGCGAGTAATGCCTTGGTTGAAAATGAAGTTCCGGTTATATACGCTAGGTCGCGCTGAAGTCGCCGCTGTACGTGTTTCGATTTCCTCTTGCTGCTAGATGGTTCCGCAGAGGCTTTCGCCTCGTACTCGATATTTTTCCACGTACAAATAGGAGGTAGGAAGTAATTGCAATCAATCGATTTGTTTAGAGTGGTAACCCAGCTCAAGCAGACTCCTGGGAATGCTTGCGCAGTGGATGGAGAGAGTCCTATACACCGTGTCAGTTGAGTCTGGTTTCTTCAGCGTCGACCCTGGCAACGAGGAACACACTCCTCTGGAGATGACGTTAAATCGATGATTGAATTCCTCATCAGGACGGCTCCTACCCACCGTCCCAACCTCTTCAGCTTCTCTTCGCCACGGGGACTTGAACGACGAGCCGAACGAGATCCGAAAGTCCGCGTGGGATTCTGCCCTTTCCGTCGCCCTTCTGGAGAGCATCCAGCGGAGGATGCTCCATTGCGGTATTGATATTTTTGGACCTCTGCAATGGCTTTCCCGTAGAGAATGAATTAAATTTTCCAATGAATTAATGAAAAAAAACTGAGATCCAATAGGCCATCCAATGGACATGTCCAAGGATTATCCTTGGATGTGGATGTTCGGGGAGGATATCCAGTGGATGTTCAATGAATTTATTTTCTGATTTTAAATTGGCACTTGGGTATTTTAACGCTTTGCTTTCACGAATGAACTCATGAATGAACTTTTCATGAATGAACTTTTCATGAATGAACTCACTCCAATCTCTGACAAAAGATGGGAATCGAAGCAGGGAGTGTTCCGGATGGATGGTGTCTGCTTCCTCGCATTTCTCGCACAGATTCTTCAGGCAGTCCACGCACTGGTAGCGGAAGCCGGTGATCGGGTTGTGGCACGCGGTGCAGCGGATGCTGCCGTGCTCGAAAGCTGTAAGGAAATAAAAATAAAAAATTTTTCATTTAAATTTATTTCAAAATAAAAATAATTTCAAATTTATTTCAAAATAAAAATTTTAATTTAAAATTTATTTCAAAATAAAAATTTTAATTTTAAATTTATTTCAAAATAAAAATTTTAATTTTAAATTTATTTCAAAATAAATATTTCCTATTTCAAATTTACTCGTGAAGATCGTGAATGATGGCTATGCACTCACTTGCGGAAGGTTCGAAGCTGACGTCGTTGGAAAGTTTCCTCATCGGCAGTCTAAGCATGGGGTGATTGCTGTGCGGCTTCCCCTCCTCGCAGGTCGGACAGAGACTGTAATCCGAGCAAGCGAGGCATCTGTACCGGACGCCGGCGCTTCCGCATTCATCGCAGCGCGCGTCTGCCGTCAAAAAGCGGAGACTAATAATAGAGCCTGAGGACCAATTGGAATTTTTTTTTTCCCCCAGATGCCAAAGGGAAGACTTGCCCGACCCGAAGCCGACCGCGAACCCGGTCGACCGAAGCATCGCGTGATCCTTGTGCAGCATCCGCCGCTCGCAGATGGCGCAGTGCTCGTACGTGGGGGCCGTGCACTGGAGGCAGACGAATCGCGGCGCGTCGCTCGGCGTTTCGCGGCAGGTGCGGCAAACGAATTCCCTCGCCGCCGCTGTTGGAGCGGAGCCTGCGTGGATGGGATTCAGTACTCGAGTACCTAAAAAAAATCAATATTCATCAATCATCACGATATGGTCACGATATCGTCACGATATCGTCACGGTCCTGATTCGATTCGAGCGGCGATTCCCGTCACGGCCGATGCAATTCCGAGTCGTGCTGATTTTATTTCATCGTCCCGGACGAGTTCGTCAGCTGATCCGTTGCTGCTCTCTAGCAGTCGTCATTTGCTCCGCAGACGGCGAAGATAGGGGGGATGACGACTGGATCGCAGATAAGAGTCCAAGCCGTTCGCGATGGCTTCCGAGGAAAATTCAGACGGAAGTTCGTTTCCTGGGGGGTTCGCATTCTTGATCGTTATTTCGTTATCTATGATTGCCCTTAATAAATTACTGTGGTTCGGTCTGTCTGTGTTTCACGTCATCATTCTACGGACGACCTATCTCTGAAGGACGTTCGAACATTTCACTCCGCATTTTCTGGTGCCCTGCGGCCGAACCGCCGCCCGATGAGGGAAGGACGACTCACGCGCGGGAGGCAGCCTGAGCATGCGGTGGTGGAGGTGCTTGGAAGACGCCTCGCATCCCATGCAGAGGTCGTAGTCCTTGCACTGGAGGCATTTGTAGCGGTGTCCTCGCACGGTTCCTCGGCATTGGTTGCAGATTATTTTTTCGTGCAGGCCTGAAAAAAAGTCACGTGGGAAATTCGTCAGGCGCTTACTCCTCGGAAGGCCGAGGCTGCTTTTCCAACGCGATTCTTCGAATTTAATTTTCGAATTTAATTTTCGAATTTAATTTTCGAATTTAATTTTCGAATTTAATTTTCGAATTTAATTTTCGAATTTAATTTTCGAATTTAATTTTTTTTTCCTATACGTTTCATGCTTTTATCGAGTTGTTCGAATGGCATTCAGTCCACGCCTCGAGCTCAGGAGGCATGAGGTCCACACTGCACTTCCCTTATCCAACTCCATAAATATCCTGCCATTCTTAAAATCAGATTGGAAAAAGTTGATCATGAAGCAATCTTTCTTTGATGCGAGGAGAAAAAAGAAGATAGAGAAGTCATAATTACCTACTCGAAATGCATGTCCCAAAATATATGTATTTTGGTATACTACACTAAATACTCAACAGTTCATACATTTTTGAGATGGTATAAGGCACATATAATTTTTTTTTCTGGGGTACATATAAACATCCCTTTATTTTTGGGCCACAGCGGAACTTTTTTTTTTCAAGGCAATTATCACAACCGATTTTTACAATTCTTATGTTGGCAGTTGAAAATTTTCTCCTTTCTTCAATAATTTTACAAGTGAAAAATCGCAGCCTGCGATCTCGTCCTAGGTCACGAACGTTCCGACTCGACGAATCCCTCATGGAGCATTTATCCTGGCCGGCGGGCTTCGACTGGTCCGGCTCGTTCCGCCGGCGCGTGGTCGGCCTTGAGAATCGCATTAAATGGGAATTGAATCTTCCCGTAGTGGAAAATCCTCCAGCCGCTAAATTAACCTGGCATTCACCATTGCCTCAACCGCTTCATCTATGGGGAAAAAAAAAATTCTAAGATGAAATTCGGCACCGTCTGGAAGGACGGCGACGGCAGGAAGGCAGAGGCCGCCCGGCCTGGCGAAGCGAATCATCGGATGATGGAGATGCTGCCCCCCCGACTGCTCGCAGTCGCTGCAGAGGTCGAAGTCGGGACACGCGAGGCACTTGAAGCGTCTCCCTCGCAGTCGCTGGCCGCAGGAATCGCACGAAACGCCTGGATGCGCTGCGTCTGTTGGGAACGGTCTAACAATTAGCGTCGTCTTCATCATTATTACGAACTCCTAATGGAGGGACGTAATGGGATGTGTCCCTCGGAAAGATGGAAGAGGCTGATAAAACTGAGAGTTTTTTTTTTGTCAGAATTTGCAAAGGAAATCGATAAGTAAACCGTATGTTTTCGATGGTGAAATCGGCAGTTCATCAGTAACTGCAATCATGGAATACTGTGAAGTTAAAGCTTAATATTTTCGACCGGCTAAGGAGTGCGGAATGCCTCGAGTTTCCTTCGGAAAGACCTCACGGAAGACTTGCCGGTCATGCCATCCCGGCTGTGCGAAAAGGGGGAGGCGGACACCCGCGACGGGAGCCTCATGAAGACGTGCTGCGCGTGCTCGGTCCCCGTCGCCTCGCACTCGGGGCAAAGGTCGAAGTCAGGGCATTGGAGGCATTTGTAGCGGCTGCCGCGCAACCGGCCGCCGCAGGAGTCGCATTGGACGCCTCTGTGAACGTTTCCTGTCAACATTAATATAAGTAACTATATTAATCATTATTAATAAATATTAATGAATTCGGTTTCCATAACATTCGGAGACTAAAAGGCAGGGCGAAGGGGAATAAAAATGAAAACTAGCCGGTTTTGACGGAACTACCCGCAACGAGAGCACTCTGCTTCAGCAAATGTGACGGTAACTGCATTTAGGCTCTTTTCAGCATATTGCTACTCGAGTTGAACAGTCCGGAAACGTTACTGCAACATATACGTAACGATCTGTAACGCCAATGCCATGGTACTTTGGGACATTGGAGCAAAGTTGACGTTTTGGCCATTCGCGGAATCGATGGACAACATCCATCATCGACTTCCTCAAAACGCCGCTAGAAGGACAATCATACCCGACACGGAGTGGGAGAACGGAGTGATCGCAGCCGCGAGTCTGAGCAGGTTGTGGCCGGTGTGGAGGACGCCGTCCGCCTCGCACGTGGAGCAGATCATGTAATCGACGCACTCGATGCACTTGTAGCAGACGCCGGCTATCGTCTCTCCGCAGCTGCTGCATTCACCGGGCATTTCAGGTCCTAGGGTGAAACTTTTTGCGTCGTTTGGAATGACAGTGGCATTTTGGAAAGTTATGGATCTGTTGGGTTAGGAAACATCAATTGTGGCCCAAGTTCCCAATCGTATGTGTTCTTCATTCTAATGAAGTCAATAAAAGAAACTATTAAATATAACTTAAAACTACGCTACTCTCAACACCTTGCAGCTATTAGTTTTGTGGGTGGAGACAGGCACCTTCAAAAAAGAGACACAGCCTACCCCATTGCGTATGGTTGAATGTGCAATACCGACATAACAGAGGCTCTGACAGCAAATTTAATAAAACGTGATACATAATTATGGGTTTCATACGAACTGATAATGAATGAAGTCTTAGATACGTATCGTTATTGTCAAGCCTTTAAGCCCTGGCAAAACGTAAAGGTTGCTGCTGGTGAATAAAATTTCCCGTATTGAAAATACATTTCTGAATGACTGAACTGAAAACACACTGTACTTTCGCCAACTGATTCACCTTGTTCGAGGCGTATCTGACAATTAATTGCACGTAGTGTAACGATAGTGTAACAATAGTGTAACGATAGTGTAACAATAGTGTAACGATAGTGTAACAATAGTGTAACGATAGTGAAACAACAGTGTAACGATAGTGGAACAACAGTGTAACGATAGTGGAACAATAGTGTAACGATAGTGAAACAACAGTGTAACGATAGTGGAACAACAGTGTAACGATAGTGGAACAATAGTGTAACGATATCGTAACAACAGTGTAACGATAGTAACAAAAGTGTAACGTTGACACCGGTCAAACCTTGCACAGACGAGAAGAATGAACGGAAGAGCGAAGAAACGGAAGGCAATGGTAAGCTGAAATGGGACTTTCGGGAAAAGCCACATCCCACAGTACAAAGATGAACCCGGTTTATCAGCTCTGATAAGATACCTGGGAATCCAAAGGTTCAGGCTGCTGCGTGGACTCTAGGCATGCAATAGCGTGGAACTGATTGTGAGACGGCCCTGGTTTTATTATTTATTATTTTTATTTATATTTATTATTATTATTTTTTTTTGCTTTCGATACAATTACTGCCCCGGACACTCCTCGCTATTGAGGATTTACTGGGAGGTAATCGCCTCGACCCCTGGAATCTGATACGTATTATTGCTACGCATTCAACTTATCGATAATGCGCAGAGAAGCAAAGGTCGGCCAAGGTCGAGCAAAGGTCGAGTAAAGGTCTACGTCGGCAGAACAGAGAGATGTTCTCTACCTTTTGGAGTTGTGGCTAATAAATAAAAAATTATCATAGTATTAAGGCTGCCTCATACCAAAAAAGATCCTTTAAAATGTTAGTTTTTATTTATTATTTATTATTTTATTAATAAATGGGACTCATGCTCTGGGAAGCATGAGCGTGTCTCCCTTACAAAAGTGACTCACATTGAAATGGAAAATTCGTAAATGCGTTGCTTATTTCTGTATGCAGGTAATCCTTTTAGGAACATGAAATTCATTTCATGTGTTTTTGCACAAACCTGCATGCATTTGCAATCGAGTCCCCCACGGGATCTGGGACCACAGGCCTTATTTGGTTACCTGTGGGTTGCCTGTGGGTTGCCTGTGGGTTGCCTGTGGGTTGCCTGTGGGTTGCCTGTGGGTTGCCTGTGGGTTGCCTGTGGGTTGCCTGTGGGTTGCCTGTGGGTTGCCTGTGGGTTGTCTGTGGGTTACCTGGGAGCTTAATGATATGTCGGGGAGCTCAGTCGATGACACTGGTGATTTCCCTCATCTGAAGCATTGATGATTCGTAATTTTTCCTGATGTCGACAGTGTTGTGAATTCATGTTCTCGCATGTTAGGGAAGGCGATGGCTTTCCCGTATTTCAACTGGAAGGTCTCATTCCTGAAACGCGAACCCTCGGAGGCCATAAGAAATTTGCTCATGCATTTTCATTATTTTTTGCAATTTCCCTTGAAGAAGCAAATCCAGCTCCATCCGTAAAATGTGAACTGTTTCCAACAATGCGCAGCGCGAATTCTAAAAAAAAAGTATGGCTTCCGTAAGAAAAGTATGGCTTCCGGAAGCCATTCCGACCAATCAAGTAAAATAAATTATTTCTTGTAACCTTATGCAAATTTTCAGTTCTTTCTGTTGCGACATGGAGCGACACGCTCATCATCGCGACCGACGGCGAATTTTCCGCCCCGCCAAAGAAACGCTTGAACTCCGTCAAACGCGTTCGCCCCCTCACGAGGAGCTTGAAATTTCGTTGAGCGGAAGCACGGATAACACCATGCAATCGATTCTCCAACACGTTCCGTGGTTCCTCCGCAGATATCGCCCATTTAATTTTGACTAATTTACTTTTTAAAATGTTATTTCCATTTTTTATGTGCCAACCTCTCGACGACCTCGATGATAATATTGATATTACTCTGGTAATATTATTCTGGGTTCGAGATCCCGCTTGAACTGTGCCACTGCCAGAATGAACCTCGGATCCTGCGCTCTTCGAAGGTCAGTCCTTTAGATTTTCTCCAAACCGTTTCTCCATTTTTTTCCGAGGATCGCATCTCTCCGGAACAGTCCAGCGATCGGTGGCGTTCTTGATGGTCTCCTTTCGTTCCCCAGCGCGAAAAATGAATCTTAACGATAATGCTTCGAAATTCTCCATGGAGTCTTCGTGCAAGCGTTGGGATGAATAAATATATATACCCACACGCAAATTTACACATTTTGGGACTTGGATTTCTTCTCCAGGAGCATCTATGAGGATACAGGTACTTTCGCTCCTTTTAGTGGGCAATGGGTAATCCCGCCGCGTACATTTGTGAAGTTTCGACTCAGTCACAAGGAAGCAAAGCTATAACATCCGGAACTAGGGGAATCAGGAGACCCGTTTATAATTAATAGCACTGAAATGTCAGAAAGAAACAGGCATGCTTCACGCCTTAAAGATACGGATCCGGCTTGTGATGACCTTCCGGCAAATGGGACAATTCCGAACCATCTGCGCGCAAGGGAGGCAGGCGACCATGTGGCCGCAGTCGACGAACGCGCAGTTCAACTCCGCCTCCAGGCACAGCTTGCATAGGTTTTCGTCCTCAGCACCTGGAAGGATTTCCCGAAAAGAGATATCTGAAGCAAATGAGCACAATCCCTCAGGCCCGAGTTGAAGATAGTAAGCATATGTAATTGCCTTGAGACGCTGTGAAGTTTTTCACGTTAAATGAAAGACTGTTTTTCATGTTCGGGATAGGACTGAGCTTTACAGGAAAATCGGACTCATTGGACTCTGGCGTGAGTAGGAGGAAATTCCAGTGGAAAAATTCCGGCATAGAAGCTATCGCTCGTGAGTAGCGGCCTCAAGAGGCAAAGCATTCCTTTGCACACTCACGATGCTGTCGAATCGTCGCTCACCCTCGTTGGATTTTCCGGAATTTCCAGAAGATAGCGTCGTTGGAGCGGTCGTCTTCTGATCAGATCCCCCCGATCTGTGCGGCTTGGGAGGCGGCGGACGCCTGGGCGGTTTCAGATCGGCCAACGGCGTCGGTCGTCTCTGTATGAACATCAAGCGAGCGATGCGTCAATGCGAGGAGAGGGGGTCTTGATTAAGATTGCATTTCCGGAGATCTGCCTCCTGAATGCCCTGCTTAACTTGGGAAGAGGCTACTGAAATTTTCGACATCGGCGTCCGATCTGCAAGTATATCCGAGTTTTGCTCACTTGCGATTCTGCTCCACTCTCGCATCAGAATGAGCGACAGACTCTGTCTACAAGAAGTTCGCGGTAAAATATCACGTGGAAAGGGCTCGTCTGATCTGTTAATGCTGGTGTCAATAGAAAGGAGTGCAACGCCGATTTTCAATAATTGTTTTCTAAATCACCGTTTAAGATATTTTAAGTCTGGAAATGAAAACATTTTGTAGCTAAGTCTTTCTTCTTCCCATTATATGAAACCGGCAAAAGATTTTCTTATAAGCATCACAATTAAATGTACTTTGAAAAGTGTTCCCTTTTTTTGGTACATGGAAAGCAAATTAAACATCTAATATTTTATTTAAATAAGAGACGAACTTGAAGATCGCCCTATAGAGAAAAATACCCAACCCGGCAAAAATAAGCTAAAATATGCGCAAAACATCCCAAGTCCTTGACCGTTTGGTGCTACAAAATGCTGAAATATTATTCAGGATATTCGAGAAGTCTTGGCATCGTTTCGGCTTCGAAGAGGTTGACTCTCTCCACTTCCCTGAAACATCTCCACATTGCGGATTGCGCAAAAGTAATGTCCCTGCAACCCTTGATTTGAAGTCACTGGCCTTGAAGCAAATTCTGTTTGAATCTTCTTCGCTCTGAATACTGAAACTGAATGTTGAAACCTTTTGCCTCAAAATATCTCTTCTGTATAGTCGAAGCGATCAGGCAGATTGCAACTCATGAGGTTCAGGATTTCGTTTCACAATTGCAACTGAACAGGTCGAAAATCCTGCACTATACTTACGTGGGAGAATGGGAGGCGAAGCATCGGATGACTGGTGTGATTCTGTCCGGCAGCGCACGAAGAGCAGAGGTCGAAGTCCGGGCACGCCAGGCATTTGTATCGTGCTCCTTGGCTTTCACTACTATGGCAGGCATCGCACATCCATCTCGGAGCTTCAATGAAAAATTTTTACATGATTAGAGAAAGTCTTGAATTGGTCAGTAGGTGAACATAACTTTTTTTTTTTTTACTCCATGCTCAGTGCGATCGATACCAGGCACCCTGATTTCGAATTCCATTAATCCATTAATCCTCAAATTTTTTTTTGGATTCTAGGTGCCAGACGGATACAATTTCGTATGCCATTTAGTCAGACAATACCATTCCATCGTGGCATTCTGCCAATACTATGCACGATGCCAACAGTGTGACTGGATCCTAGGTTTCGTCACGGGTGACCAATGTGAAAAGGGTCGTTAGCATTTCGCCCTAATGATTTGCGGCACTCCTTGGTTTCTCTTTAATTTCTTCGCTAATCTTTTTCCCCCAATCCAAAGCTCTTACGAGTTAAGCACGGGCTAAAGTCGAGAGTATTACGCCTGACCAAATCTCGATGTGATCTCCATCTTCAACCTCGGTGAGAAAATTATGTATTCGCGTTATGTGAAGCACCTAACTAGAGAAATGAAATAGGTACTTGATTCAAAACTGGTACGTGGCATAAACAAGCCAGCACTTGCACACTTGCTGACTTTGAGAAGTATTCCCGAGATTTTTAGTCACCACCGACGAAGCCTTTGTCCGTCCTGGATCCTTGGAACACGTCCACTAGCTAAGTCTGCAGATATATATTCTATGGACTTTAATATATGGTAGAAACTCAGCGTCTAGTGTAGTGTTCGCCGTCGGATGGGTATCGATGAGATTCTCCTATCGCTACCGGGCGCGGTTGACATGAATACTCGCAATGACTCACTGGGAACGAATGCTATCGGTATGAGGCAATCCCGTTATGAAAAAATACATATGGCATGCCAAAAGCCATGTCACCCCAAATAAACGAATGGACTCACTTCTCCCTTTGATGAAAGTGGGAAATCGAAGCATTGTGTGTTTCGCATGGATGGTGTCGTCTTCTTCGCATTTCCCACAGAGATTCACCTCTCGGCAGTTCATGCATTCGTAATGGAAACCGATGATGGCACACTTGCACACCGTACAAGTTCTGCCTTGCACGGGAGCTGCCGAAAAGAAACGCGATCACTGCGCCCGTCTCCCTGCCTCAAATCGAGAAATGCCCATGCACTCACGTCCCGAAGAGGCAGCAGTGGTGGGACTCCTCGACTGCATCCTGAGCATGGGGTGGCGCGAGTGAGGCCTCCGCTCTTCGCAGGCCGGACAGAGGTCGTAGTCGGAGCAACTGAGGCATTTGTAGCGGACGTGGTCGATGGTGCCTCGGCACTCGTCGCAAAGCGCGCCTACGGTCGTCGGGCGAAAGGGGAGACGTCCTGGCAGAGATCTCGCGTGGAAAGACTGGGTCTCGTTTTGAATGAATGCAGCTTAGAATTTTGCAGCCGTCAATGCTCGGCATGTCACGAAATCATGCCAGCAGGATTTCCTGCAATTTGCATCTCTTTCTCTGTTTGCTTGGGTCGGTGGAAATTGTTCCAGTAAAAGTTTCGTCGTGGCACCAGAAATGGTCCCAATCCGGACCTTCATTTTTTGCATTCCAGGCCAACTTAGTGACTCCATCCCCGGAAATGATGTCAAATCCGTATAGCTTTACGTTGGGTTATCCTATACTCTCTCATTGCGTTCTCTATGAAGCGTAGCATCGGCCCGATGACGTTCCGATTTTTGCGTGGCGGAAGTTGCCGTTACAGGAGAAGGACTTTTACATGTTCTCTTAGAGCAGGGGTTCTTAACCTTTTTGCTCCTACGGACCCCCCAGATCCTCAAGTATTACCCATGGACCCCCACCCCCGGTTATCAGAAACTTTGGAACACCTGGATTTGTAATTATAAATGATGTTTTTTGGGAGCCACCTTCAATTATATATTTAATTTTCCACGGACCCTCCGCGGACACCCTGGACCTACCCCACGAACCCCAGGTTAAGAACCCCTGTCCTTCCCCGCAGAAAACGTCCACCCCAGGTGGATGTCCCTTTATGCGTAAATCCGCCTTCTGGCAGGATGTCCACCCAGGGGGACATCCACCCGATTCCATTGGCCAGGCGCTTTGGGAAAGTAAACGTTTTGTGAGGGGCCTGCAAGAACGTCCTGGATATTTGTGCATTAAGTAGCGCCGTAACTCCATCGCGACGCAGAGAAACGACTTGCCTGCCTGGAAGCTCACTGCGAACGCGGGCGAAGACACCCGAAGCATCGCGTGGTCCTCGTGCCTCTTCCTCGCCTCGCACTGGCGGCAATGCTGATAGCCGGAGCGCGAGCACTGGAGGCAGACGTATCTCGGCCTCTCGCGGAGCGACTCGCTGCACTCGTGGCAAGAATGTTCCTCCGCCGCGTCCATTCTCGGAGGGGAATCTGTGTGATTCACATCATTCACATCATCAATAATTCACATCATTCACATCATCAATAATTCACATCATTCACATCATCAATAATTCACATTATTATCGTAGGTGATTAAGGCAGGAAATCAATGCCTGTAGGAGCGTTGGAAGCGGGTGCATTCCCAAAATATAATTCCTACCCTTTTGTGTTTGTCAATACTGATGAAGTATTCTTGAAGTTACAGGAAGGAAATCGGAGGGAAATCGGAAATGGGATCCGTTTTGAACTATTCCTGAGGCCGTTACTCTCTCGCATGGTTCGTTTGGCAGGCGATAGAGCTCGCACCCTTTCGTCTATGTAGAGTGTTCCTTAAGTCTGGAACCATGGGCAGTGTATTTCTTCCATATTTCAGAGAGTATACGTTGAATAAATGGCACTTCTGAAGGGGAGCAAGTAGAGCTGTATCAGAGTGTACCCGGGGAAGCAAAAGGGTACTGCCAAGAACCCGAAAATCAAACAGATGTGCCTTTGTGCCAATGTATGGGGCGTATGGGACACCTTCCAGAATTCCCTCAGAGAGGCAAAGAATCCCCATCCCCCCATCCCCCCCCCCTCCTTCACCGTATCTGCCCTCACGTTGCACAACTGGCATAGTTACATTTGCTTCTGATATGTGGGATAATGCACAGGAAAGAACCGGAATTCGGTTAGGACTCACTGGGAAGCACTTGAAAGCAATGGAATACAGTAGAATCAACATAGAAATAGGACGAACTCCTCATTCAGACTAAAATGAAGGCACAATTGTCACCTGGACTCATCCTCTGAAACGATTTTAAAATTTGGGTTTGATTCGCGTTCATAACGACGATGATTGTTAATGGGCACGCAGATCATTCTTGGAAAACAAAATTGATTCGTGGAGGAGCCGAGGACATTTTTGTCATTTTTGTCATTTTTGTCATTTTTGTCATTTTTGTCATTTTTGTCATTTTTGTCATTTTTGTCATTTTTGCGTTATCTCTCCGATGCTTGGAGACACAATTGGTTGTTTCGTCTCCGCAATATCCAGAGGTCTGGTTTAAAAGTCTCTTCGTTTCCATGGAAACGAAGCTGCTGCTTCGGATCGTGCGCTTCTATGCGAGATTTTACGTGCATCCTTTGTTGCGGCGTCGAACATCTACTCGGAACTTCTGAAATTCTCTCCTCAGGGGGTTCTTCGGGAAGGAACCCGAGCACGCGGGCCTTGGCCGATTCGCCCTGAGAGAAAGCTGCGGGAAAAGGATTCTCAGATGAAGATCGATTTCTGCAGATCCTTGGCGAGAAGCGAGACAGGGCGAAGAACATACTCCCCTCAGAGAGTGCTGATTGATGAATTGATTGCTGCAATCGCGGTGTGCAGTCAATCTTGCCATCGTGCTTCAATCTCGTGCTTCAATCTCGTGCTTCAATCTCGTGCTTCAATCTCGTGCTTCATTCTCTTAAAATCTTCGACAGTAGTCGACTCAGACTCATAGAGCCTGCAGCTCCTTTCTCAACATAGTTCCACCGGTTCTTTCCTCGATCGCTTCCGTTTCTGCAAGCCTCAGATGTGGGATCGTCTGTGGGGATTCGCAGTGTCAAGGTGTAGTCCTTGCACTGAATGCATTTCGTACTCGCCTCATCGTCCTTCCAGCGAGTCTCATTTGTTCTGCAATTCACGGCAATGATGAAAGGATCCCGATTGTTTTGCTGTCGATGTTTTTGTTCAAATTTCATAATTCAGTTCCATGGATCATTTATACATGAAAAAACCAACTTGTGGTGGGTCCCTCGGAACGGGGCGTGGGAGGGTGGAATGTGCGATGTTAATATTTAGCTGTGTTCGATTGCCACTCGACTTTCATGGAGTTAAAAAAAAAATACCTTGCTTTGATCTTCATCCTGTACGAACCTGTTGCCATTTTCTATATAAACATGATATGGGAGTGAGGAGGTGACTTACATACGGAAGGCATCCTGAGCAAGCGGTGATGAAGGTGCTTGGAAGACGCCTCGCATCCCATGCAGAGGTCGTAGTCCTTGCACTGGAGGCATTTGTAGCGATGTCCTCGCACGGTTCCTCGGCATTCATCGCAGGTGATGTTGTTGTGTATTCCTCCAAAAACAGGAAGCAACATGAAGTGAATACGTATGGAATGTATTCTTCGGAAGTCTAAGTCGTGTTCTAGTAAAAACTAAGTCAGTCTCTGGAAATTGCTGATACTAGTCGGTAGACCACGCTGAGTGAACCTGCTGCTATGGCTGTTGAAGAGCACGCATACATTTTATTATTGGGTTGGAAAGAAAGTCTTGCAACACTCTGCGGAAATTTTTAAAAATTTTATAACTTTATTGAAATGCAATTTCAGTCTACAATGTTATGACCATTGTTGTCTATGACATGTTCCCAACGCACGTCGCGATCACTGCGCCCGTCTCCCTGCCTCAAATCGAGAAATGCCCATGCACTCACGTCCCGAAGAGGCAGCAGTGGTGGGACTCCTCGACTGCATCCTGAGCATGGGGTGGCGCGAGTGAGGCCTCCTCTCCTCGCAGGCCGGACAGAGGTCGTAGTCGGAGCAACTGAGGCATTTGTAGCGGACGTGGTCGATGGCGCCTCGGCACTCGTCGCAGAGCGCGCCTACGGTCGTCGGGCGAAAGGGGAGACGTCCTGGCAGAGATCTCGCGTGGAAAGACTGGGTCTCGTTTGAATGA